CTCTGATTTTTGAACCCAACAGCCTTTGCAGGCGCTTTTGTACCCAGCCACCCTTTGTCGAATGGGACGACAAGTCTCCAACATAAAAGCGACCAAATGAGCACATTATGTTGTAGCAACCCGATCTGGATAATGGGTCAACTTTCTTTCTGAAGGTGGGCATAACTGAAGAAAGTGTCGTAGTTTCCCTGAAGACCGTTTTTATTCTCCACTTCCTTACTTGCTCACCTATTCTTTTAGAGAGAGCGCATGAAGGTAAAGACAAAACATGAGAAAAGGTCTCCTTATCTCTCCTTACGTATTCACCATTCAAAACACTATTATATATTAATCTAATGTTATTTTCAATCAAGCCTAGGGGATAGTTATTCTCAATAAATATTATTTTATACCCATTCAAATTATTATCACAATGGTCTACATCGGCTAGTCTTATGCTCCGAATAATCATAGATTTCAAAACTCTAACCTTCTTTTTCTAACTATGATTGGAGAAAAAGTTAAGTATAAAGCCAGCATGCTTTGGCTTTCTATAGACATCCCTGCTTAATTTCTCACCTGCTCTGATCACTAATACATCTAAAAAGAGTAAAGTGTTGTTGACTTCCATTTCCATTGTCAACTTTATATTGCAATCAATCTGGTTAATTAAAAACAAGAAATTATCTAAACTATCCTTGCTATGCTGCCATATTGCAAAGTAGTCATCAATATATCTAACTAACAGTTTAGGTGTCAATCTTACATCTTCCATGAAGTGTTTCTCCATTATTGACATGTAATTATTAGCCAAAATGGGAGCCAAGCAAGGTCCCATTGCTAGGCCTTGCACCTGTTCATAAACTTTATCATTATAGGTTTAAGATTGAGCCTTGGCTCAGATTTACATTTCAAATAATTTCTGGGTGTTAATAACAAGGTGACCGTGACTTGTCATCCTTGCAAAGGCTGTTGGCTTCAAAAATCAGAGCTTAGTGAGCACAGGGCAGAAACAGGACACGAGATC